TCTTCTGTACACAAGTAATCAGCCCCTCCATTGGCACTAAGGTTAATAAAAAAATTAAAAAAAACTTGTACTTTAAACTTGTACTTAAGATGAAAAGTGAGAACATATTTTATTATCAGTATGACTAAACATGTATTCGTCATAGATGCAGTATTTACGGTTTCATTTAAACTATTTTAAGAGTTAAGTCGATGCTGCTGCATTTCTGAAGAAGGACTGAATTTAAGAGCTGTTAATGGAAAACATCGCACATCCTGTGCAGTTGTGCACTTTCGCAAATACAATACGACTCGACTTGAAATGTTCGACATAAAAACGTTATTTGGGTAACATTGAGGGGGGGTTGTGAATGCCTGAAAAACATTTATGGGAATGGTTTAAATTAATTTTTTTAGGTGGCGTCTTACACACCGCACTCACGTAATAACGGAGAGCTCAATTTCAAACCTACTAAAACTGAAACACACGAGTCAATTATTAAATACATTTGTCTCTTAAATTTAGACGCTAAAACAAAACTTGAATTGGCGACTAATGCATAATTTATACCTGTAGTTTCTTGTTCGAGGTCGACAAATGTCTCTCTTCAGTTCGAGGTCTGTTAGCCTTTAGCCAGCTAACACAATAAATACCTGATGCTACCACAGGCCCTCACAAACAGGACACATTTTCAGTCTTCCAGAATAAGAACATAATCTCCTTAAAATAAGTGTGTTTATTTGAGTGCAGAATCTGTTCGCTGAAGCAGATAGCTGTGTGCTGGCTGTAAGAGTGGGTATTTCTTTCCTGTCTCCCGCACAGCGTGTTTAAATGGCGCCCGGTCAATACTCGAGAAACTCACCCAAAATATCCAGTGCTGACTGAGTATATTAATCTAAATTTAACACACGACTCTTCCTTGTGGAGACGATTGTAATGTCTTTCTGAAAATGAAATGTCAACTATCTCCAGAGTGCGCGTTAATTCGCTATTTTTCGCGTTTAATTAACCCCCTGCCTCCATCTCGAGGCTTCCGCTCTTCTCGTTGCTTGGAACTCCGAAACGACGTCATGACGTCAGACGCATCGGCGGGAGAACTGCGTCACTAACTGCATGTTTTATCAGAATCAGAAAGAGCTTTATTGCCAAGTATGTTTGCACATACAAGGAATTTGTTATAGTGTCACAAGCTTCCAGTACACGGAGACAACAACAACACACAGATAATAAAAGTGAGATGTGAATAAAAAACACATGCATAAATATAAACCGCACATAAAAAGAAAGAATAAATTGTATGTACAGGTGTGCTATAGATGGAATAGGAATAGAATAAAATAAAATAAGTTGTAGGGATGTACTAGGGTTTATGGTGATAAATAAGTATAAGGTTGTGACATCGTGAGGGTATGTAACATGTAAGCTAAAGAAACCATACCACAATGTCTTGTTTAAGAAAACTTTATTTATTGTTTTTTCTTCACTTGTTTCAGTCACATGGAAGGTGCACATTCCAGTGTGATTGATGTTTATTGGTGTGGGGTCTTGGTCTTTGTAAATAGGAAAAGGTACATGGAAATTAGCCAAATAATGTTTGTTGGATAATGATGATTCTCTTTGTCTTACCTTTCCCTTTGGAGCTACCTAGTGGGAGGGGCCGGCCCGCAAACAGGAAGCCACATACATTCCATCCATTGGCGGGGAGGAGCTTACTCACTGAGAGTGTGGAGAATGTTATTTGAATGTTATTTGGGATGCATGTCTTTTAAAATGCACATTGGGTTCCATGATGGAAAATAGTGTTTATTAAAGAAGATGCTAATGTCAATGTTTGTATGATGATGTTGAAGATCATGGACATTTTTCAAGTGAAGTTTGGGCTAATTAGATCATAATTGAAATAGAATTATCATTGGACTGTTTGAATTTGAGGGGAGGAGCCTCTCTTATAAAAGTCTAATTGTTTGGTAAAGAAAGGGGAGGATGAACTGGGTTGGGCAGCAATACGCCTTTGAAGCGTCTAAGCTGCCGCAAGAAGAAGAAGAAGAAGAAGAAGAAGAAGAAGAAGAAGAAGAAGAAGAAGAAGAAGAAGAAGAAGAAGAAGAAGAAGAAGAAGAAGAAGAAGAAGAAGAAGAAGAAGAAGAAGAAGAAGAAGAAGAAGAAGAAGAAGAAGAAGAAGAAGAAGAAGAAGAAGAAGAAGAAGAAGAAGAAGAAGAAGAAGAAGAAGAAGTAGTAGTAGTAGTAGTAGTAGTAGTAGTAGTAGTAGTAGTAGTAGTAGTAGTAGTAGTAGTAGTAGTAGTAGTAGTAGTAGTAGTAGTAGTGGACAAAACTGAATGTTAGTTGGATTAGTGGCCAATGCGCTCTATGTGAAGGACCAATCGCCTGTGTAAGTTTTCTTTTGGTTTTTGTTTTATTTGTATTTTTTGTTTGTTTGGAAACATGTTGGATGAATTCTGTTCCAATGCTTGATGCATGCCTGAAATGACAAAGCAACCTCATGAGACTTCAGAGTTTTTGCTGGTTTTTGCCGCCTACTTTGCCACTGCCAAGAACGTCCTCACTACAAAGGTTATTGCACATACTGTACTTTAATTGCACAATGGGAGAACATTAACTGTTCATGAGGTAGATTGCCTGGGGAAAGAAACTGTTCTTGTGCCTGGCTGTCCTGGTATTCGGTGCTCTGTAACGCCGACCAGATGGCAAAAGTTCAAAAAGGAGATGGCTTGGATGTGATGGATCCAGAGTGATTTTCTGAGCCCTTTTCCTCACTCTGGATGTATACAGTTCTTGGAGGGTAGGCAGGGGGGCACCAATAATCCTTTCAGCAGTCCGAACTGTTCTCTGTAGTCTTCTGATGTCTGATTTTGTAGCTGAACCAAACCAGACAGTTATTGAAGTGCACAGAACAGACTCGATGACGGCTGAGTAGAACTGTTTCAGCAGCTCCTGTGACAGGTTGAATTTCCTCAGCTGGCGAAGGAAGTACAACCTCTGCTGGGCCTTTTTAACAGTGGAGTCAATGTGAGTGTCCCACTTCAGGTTCCTCCTGAAGTCCACGATCATCTCCACAGTTGAGGGTGTTCAGCTCCAAGTTGTTAAGACTGCACCAGACAGCCAGCTCTTTAACCTCCTGTCTGTAAGCAGACTCGTCTCCATCCTTGATGAGACCGATGACTGTAGTGTCATCTGCATACTTCAGAAGCTTGACAGAGGGGTCTTTAGAGGTGCAGTCGTTGGGGTAGAGGGAGAAGAGCAGTGGGGAGAGGACGCAACCCTGAGGGGTGCCAGTGCTGATGGTGCGGTTGTTGGATGTGAATTTACCAATTCCCACTAGCTGTTGCCTATCTGTCAGAAAGCTGGTGATCCATTGACCGATAGAGCTAGGGACAGAGAGCTGGGTTAGTTTGGTCATTTACCTGTGGGTTATTTTCCTGTCTGTCAAATGCAGTGGAGAACAAATGTTCTTACATACTACGCATTATTTATAAGTAGTTATATAATTAATACTATTTAATATTGCTTATTTAGATATATTTTTGATTATTTGGGTTAGTTAACCCAGAATTTCTGCTAACACTTGTCTACTTACTCTCACCTCATTCTAAACATATGACGTCCTTTCTTCAGTTAACATAAAATGAAAACTGAGAAAGTGTATTTTACATACAATGACACCGAACTATTTCTTTAAATTTGGAATACACAACTGTCCATTAGGTGGGGCTATGATTCGACTTTTGCCAACAAATTGTGTTGCAACTGCGGATAAATTAAGCGACTGATACATTTTGTTCGTTCTGTGAATTTTCTTCTGAAATTGTAGCTCATTTGTTTTGGGAGAGTCCCTTTGTTCAGTCTTTCTGGAATAATGTTAATGCTCTGATTGTCCAAAATATTTATGATTTCTCTTTGTGTTATAAACACATTCTTTTGGGGTTTTATGCTAAAGATAAGAATCTATTTAATGCAAGTTTTTGTATAAACCTCCTGTTATTTATTGGAAAGTTTTATGTCCATAAATGTAAATATACTAAATGTAAACCCCACTTTAACATCTTCAGACAAGAACTGAAGTTGTATTTAAATACAATTTCAACGTCTGTTAACAAGAAAGCTATAAAAACATCTAGAATTTGTGCCATGTTTAAGATTTTTCCCTAATATATTTGTATTTCTATTTGTGTGCCTTTTTTTTCTTCTGTCCTTTTCTTAAGAATTTTTATATTATATAGTTTTTTTCTGTGATGTTTTATCTATTAATCCTCAAGTAGTTTATTATTGATTGGTATTTTGTATGTTTCGTACGTACTGTTTTTTACTGTTTGTTTTGTACGTACTGTAATCCTTGTTGTTTACTGCAATAAAAAACAAAAAAAACGCGGATTCAACTGCTGAATTGTTTGGACTGTAAAGGCCAAACTTTTTTTTTTTCAGCGACAAAACGTCAGCATAGACATAAACATCTAGATTGGGTCAACTGTATGTCAAGTTTAGGTTTCAAGCAATGGTTTTCAAGTAACAGCTATTTTTAATCCTATGGTTACTGAAGGAGAGGAAGGCGATTATTGTCATAAATGGGCGGGGTAAATTAGCTGCATGTGCGTTCACTGCACGTTTTTCCTGTCATTGGGACTGTTGTGGCGGTCAGGATGATGCAGCTCTGACACATCCGCTTCGAGGATCATCCCCATGCCTAATCTGCAGGTCAGAATGGTTTCTTAATTCTGAGCTCAATGTTTATGTCGTGTTTTGAATGAGGGTGGAAGACTATGCATATCCGCGCTGTTAAACATGGTGTTGGAGCATGCCCAGTGAACAATTTCAATACTTTACCCTACATTCAGGTTACTGTACAAAAGTGTTGTTGCCTTTATTTTACCTGTGTTTGTATTTGTTCTAAACAAATAATGATCTCCCCTGTCTTATTTAATCAACAGCTCACAAGACTTGTCTGTGTAAGGGCATTACAACGAGGTTGAAACATCTGACCATTCTCCTTGCTGATGCAGTATATATAATAATTTAGTATCTGATCTACTGTGTGCATCTACCTGTATTGTAATAACACCAGTATCTTCAGAATTTAAATGAAATGACTATATTAAATGAAACATTAAGCTATTTCCCACTGTGAATGTGGGACCCAGTGGACCTGTGATTTATAATGATTATTCAATACTTATGATGTTCCTTCAAGATACACAAACATATAGTCAAATATATGCAAGCATATAGTTAGAGATGCTGCAGTTAAGCACAGTTACAGACTGTCTGCTGATCAGTAATGCCCAATCAGCCTGTAGCAATGAACTTATCCAGAAGGAGAAGGTCACTCTTTGTTTTAATGTTTCCAAGCAGCAACCCTTTCCCTCTATGCGGGTAAGCACTTTGCGTGTACCTGTATTTGATGACCCTCAAGAAGACCTGTACAAGTATTTTGACCGCTGTGCTGATGCCATAGCCAGTGAGGCAGAACGGGGAGGGACTGTTGTGTACTGCAAGAATGGACGCAGTCGCTCAGCTACTGTCTGTGTGGCCTATTTATTGAAGCACCAGGGTCTCACCTTGACAGATGCCTTCCAGGTATGAATAGTGTTTGTCAAATTGAAGTCTGATATGAAACAGTTCTAGTCAGGACACATGCATTTTATGCGTAATTTATTTTTAAATTAAAGTTCTTTTTAATAGGTATTTGAAACTTTATATGTTCAGTCATTAATTATTTTTCTTTGTTGCTGATATTTTATTGGTTTATAAGGAAAAGCAGAATTATAGGCAGCAAGGTAAAATTAAACGAAACAAAACTATAATATATAATGAATATAAAATGCACAAAATAAAGGCACCCACAAGACATCAAAATATACCTCACTCATATTCTAATCATTACTGAATGCAGCCTAATTGATAATGAAAAGCCACATCATTCTAGATTTTTATGCCAGAATTTAATGTTGTTTACTACTTCTGTAGTTCCTATTTCTCGTCTGTAATTTAAAAGTAAAAAGTGCCCGATCAGTAGTTGCGCCTAACCCAGGATTCTGGACTCCGCTGAGGTGAAATGAACAGGAGCTGAAGATCAGGAGGTCGGCCAGCCACAGATCTAACCTCTCTCCACTTTAACTTCATACCAACATTTCCTGATATGACATTCTCAAACTTCAGGGCTTTATAATAAGTCTTTAGTCATGTCGCTCTTCAAGCTTGCTGCAAATAACGAATACCTTATAATAACAATAATAACGATATGTGCCTTAAATGATTATAAAAATGTGATAATACTACTATATTTTAAAATAAAAAGGGAGTATTAAAAATAAAATTATTTTATAGTAAACTTTAAAAAAAAAATCATATATATATATATATATATATATTTTTTTTTTAAAATTATTTTCAAATTTAAAATCAGCAAGCTTTTATTTAGGCAAGTAAGTGTATGTGCGCTGCCGCGTCAGTGAATGGAATGTCATATGCCTTGTCCAAATACCCGCACTTGACTACTTATATGACGTATTTCCTGTATTTGGCCCAAGTGTTCAAGTGAGATGTGTATTTGGCATGCTAAATATCTGGAGTTGTCGGCGATTCACAATCGCGCTGTGTGAAATTAGTTCTTACTGAAAAACACATTGGTGATGACCTACAGCCAATGAGAGACCAAGATACAGGGCAGCGGGACGTTTGGGGAGGAGTTATGTTTTGCCAGTGTTAGCAAATCCGCGATTGCCGCCGGTTGTTTTTTATGTCAGCAGGTTGAAGCGACCCCAATAACGTGATATTTAGGCCCTGGAATGTGAATTGTACCAGGAGAACCCCGCCAAAAAAAATCGTACACAGCAAAAACTGAATGCTACCCCAGATAGTCGTTCAGTGTGAAACCAACAGTGATGCGACGTCTTTGAAAATCGTGCAGTGTGAACTCGGCATAAAGCGCACTGCGCTTTGGTATTTTTAAGACCTGGGACAGTCTTGCGCACTTACTTCCTGTCGCGCGCACGCGCTCTCAAGTGGCCAAGACCGCAAGTGTGGGTATTTGGACAAAGGGATAGTTTTGCGCTGTTCTTTGAAAACGACAGCGGATAGCCTATAGATTACTTTCAGTTAGAATTAAATCTTATACGGTACAGTTTGTCGATCTAAATATTATTTATATTTGCCATTTATATAAATTATATAAATATTATTTGTATTTACCATTTGGCTTATATATGTGTTTACAAATTATAGGTTATATAAGAAATATAATCATGATAGGCCTATATGTAGAAATATAATCATCATATGTACCACCCTACATTTTGACCGATTTTAGGTTATTAAAGCAGGATTAGGGCTCCTAATTTTTCTGCTAAACTTTTTTTTTTAAATCTTTTTTTCAGAGGCATCCCTTTAACAAACCTAGAAAACCTCCAGATTGCTAGAAGCATCACAATTATACATTACCCTCCTAAATAATTATCTCAGCAGGATTTTATTTAATTTAGGCTACATAAAAAGTAAAAAGATAAATACTTAAATATTTTATATAAATGCAGCACACAAAAAAACAAAACATGAAAGCAGTTCTTCAACTTTACCCTTCCATAGAGAGGGTATTCATCAAAGTAATTGTAAGCTTTTGTATAAAAGAGTCCATTTAAAATGTTGTTTGTATCTCTCTATTTCCTTTTTCTATAAAGTATTCCTTTACTCAGTATAATATTGTTTTGAATATGAATTGTTTGACCTGTAATTGTCCATTCTCAGGAATGTCCCCAGTGCATGTTTTCTGATGCAGTTGTATGCTTTGCTGTATTTCGCCGCTGTCAGGTTAAAAACTAATATAAATTCATACAGGTCATCCCAAAATTTCTTAAACCGTTTAACAAATCTAACAAGAACTGTATTTTAGCATGTCTTAAATAACATTATATGTTAAGTCCTGTCTTACAGTATTTATTATTCTTTTGTGTTACCCAATAGAGGAATCAAATAATGGGACTATGAAAGTTTGTGTTCATTTTATAGCCTCATTAATACATAATGTGTAACTTTTGTCTACTTTAATTACTGACAGCATTACTTTCCCAAACATGCAGATAACAGGAAAATAAGAGCAGTTTTAATTAATGTGTTTATTAAATGTCAATTTCTATACACCAAAGAGCTATAGGGAGCACACTGATTTATATTTTCTGTAATAGGCAAAACAGGGTAGACAGGTAGGGGTCTAAACTTTATCCCACCCCTGACGAACGCTATCTATCCAGTCCAAATAGCTGGACACTTTGGTGTAGATGCCAAGTTTGTCTTTTTGCCCGCAGCCTTCTCCCCAGGACACCAGACCTACGAGGAACCATGTATCATGAAACCGTGTCATCATTGGACCCCCACTGTCCCCCTCACAAGCATCTTTTATTTGCCCCAGCACTCCCCCACAAAGCATGTTCTGAGTAAGGTTGTTCATCATATGCCTGGAACACTCTTTGTTGTCTATAATTGGAATTTCAATGAAGTTGAGAGTTGAACTGTAGCGATGAGAGGTCTCGTTGTCCTTCCCCCAGCCAGTGACGACTGTGACAGTACCGTTACGATGCAACATTCGTTCGGCCAGGTTCTGGCTAGGGAGGCATGCTGGGAGTATGTATGTGGAAAATGTGGCTGGTGTAGCCAAGTGCAACAGAGCTATATCATTGTCCACAGTTAAAGGGTTGTATTGTGGGTGGGCGATAGATTGTTTTACAGGAAGGGTCATCTCAGATCCTTCAATCCTAAATCGGTCGTAGTCACCTGGAGAGATGGTCATACAATTAGAATTCAAAGCCAGAGAGTGTTTATGGATGGCTATGTTTTATGATGGGTTAAAAAAGGAAGGCTGCTTCCTTACTCGTTTGTTGTTGTTTTTTTACAGAGACAAGGACTGTCACAGAAACAAAGTGTAATTTCTCAGGATTCTTTCACTGCTATTTGTCAAATAGTTTGGGCACCATGAGTGGAATTAATACGCTTTTTAAGGGAACATAACACTGTATCTAGATTGTCTTTTGGTATTTCTTTTCACTTGAGGCCTAAGCTTAGTAAACAACACTCTAAGCTGTGTTCTAGCACTTTGTTTGTGGCAAATTGCTTTAGTAATGCATCTTCTAAAATCTCAAATATAAGGGAGGATAAAAAGCCTTACACTGTGAAGGAATACTTAAATTTTTATCAAATTGTCTTACATACCCAGCCTGACAGTGAACCTTGTACTTTTCTCTAGGCAGTGAGCAGCAGTGAGAACCCAGTTTTCATCAATCAGAACTCCACCACAATGAAACCTGCCCAAATGATTGAGTATAAGAGCCTACAGAATACACAAAATAATTTGACTGAATATTTGGTATAACATATGATAATTGTCAGGATTCGCTCTGATAAAACATTTGGCATTATTAAATATGATTACACAGATATTACAAATCAATCAAAAGTACCTGCCAGGGACTCTCTCCCTTTTTGCCAACTGTACCTCCTATTACCCACGGCTGTAAACCTACTAAAGGCTTATTAATATAAGATGACTTTGCAATCCGAATCTGGCCACATGAAGCCTCATCTGTAAATGACAAAAATGCACATAAATCACAGATTTATCTTCCAAATGGTAGAAATTATATGAAGATATTTTTTTATATTTTCATATAGTTTTTAATGAAGATATAATTATACGACTATGTTAATCACCCCACATTTGTGAATAAATGTTGCACAAAGACAGTCTTATAAATGTCCACAAATGCAGATATACAGTCTCGAATACACATGCAAATATCTAAGCATTAATTTGTGCACTGTGGATACAAAATCACCAGTGTAAAAAAAATCATCAGTGTATTTGCAATAAGCACAAACTATATTGTTTATATTTGCATTTTGTTGAGGTAACTTACTTTTGGCAATACATTTTCTAGAGTTGTCTTGTAGTTGGTATCCTTTAATACAACTGCATGTGTGAAAAAGACCATCCTCACTATCGTGACATTCATGATCACAATCCCCATTGTTCAAAGAGCAGTTAGTGGCTGTCCTGCCTGAGGACAAAACCAAAGAACTGCTGTCAGGACATTTATCACCGTGACCTCAAGACTATGGAGGACGAAACCTGCAAAAATCAATCAATAAATAAATATGCAAATAAATAAATGTCTGTATAAATACACAAATTCTTGTTTGAATACATATAGAAATAATTAAACATGTGATTTAAAGTAGGCAAATAAATAAAATAAATTAGTGGACAAATGGAAAATGTTTAAGGAAATGCTAAACTCATCCTATTTATTTTCCTTTGATCACTCATTTATTTCTGAACGTAGTTCCACATTTATTTTTCCTCTGCACAACATGCTAATGAGAGGGTGTCAACCATGGACTTGGTCGGGGTCATGTCATAGCTGGGGGTGCGGCTTTCCCGCTGACAGGAAATGCATGGTGTTAATCCAGTATGACCTACGTAAATTCACTTTCCGTTTAACAGAGCAAGGTACATAAAAAACTGAGCTGTATTGTCCGTACAGTATCTGTGACTTTACAAACAACCCAAAGAAATGGCCAGTGTTGTTTCCTGACGTCATTTTTTGTAACCCGATTGAGTCTCCAGCTATGGACAACTGTAATATCAGTATCCCATGGTTATTGTGAGATGACTGGTATGAAGTGGTTTAATCGAGGAACAGACATACTTTTGTCACCTGTATTTTCTGTTCTGATAACTAATGGGAAAAAACGGTCTATTAAGCAAATAACGGTTCAGTATTGCAAATAAGAGCTATGTAAGCATTAATATTTTACATTGGCCACTTAAAATATTTTATGATTTAGCTCTCTCATGATTATAACTACAAAATTAACCCTATGAAAAAGTGTAAGATAATAATCAGTCACCTTGACTGATGAAGTTAATACGCATGCGCCGGCAAACGCTCAAGCGAGTCACACACGATCCGCCTACTCTTGCATAATTGACACCCTCTCATTAGCATGTTGCGCAGAGGAAAAAAGTGGAACTACATTCAGAAATAAATGAGTGATCAAAGGAAAATAGTTAGGATGAGTTTAGCATTTCCTTAAACATTTTCCATTTGCCCACCAATTTATATTATTTATTTGCCTACTTTCATGACATATATAATTATTTATTTATGTATTTAACCCACTTTCGGTGAAACCCCCTTTTCAATGAAAGGGTTACTCTAGAATACCAAGAGTGTGAAACAGACACACACACGTGCACACACACACACACA